CCCAAATCTTGTCACTTTATCTCACATAGCCTTCTATTCAGTTTCTAAATAACCACTCAAACTTCCTACTATCTAGTCTTTAGATATGCAAATTCACCCAAGTCACCTATTCAGAGCTAATCAGGTTTTTTACCAGCCAGACTACAAGGAAACTCACTTAAACTTTCTAACAAGTTTTTCAAAGATCCTTACCTTAATTTGATTTACAAGAAATTTCCTCTTCCTGCCCTCACTTTACTTTACCCCCTAGGATGTTTCTATGAAAATAAAAGCCATTAAGTAATAGATAATGTTTAAGGGATTTTTTTTTTTGGTTAATCTTCACTCTGGTAAATATAGTACTATTAGTCTTAAACTTTGTGAATCTATGTACCTGTTTTAACCTTGATAGATTGATTTTAAAAATGTTGTAATCTCAACTAAAGGTCAAACCGACCCCAGATTATTCTTAGAAAAAAGGTGATTGTGATCTCAGCTCATTTCATATGCTAATGTCACCCCTCTGCCTGCTTGAGATGTATAAAATAAACCTCAGCTGAAGGCAGAGCAGGAAGACTTGCACCCATCTCCCGTTCCCGTGGCTTCCTTGTGCCCACTCCCCTTTTCTTCCCCTTTTTCTAGGAATTTCCACTCGCCAACACCGTTCCCACCTTGAGACCCTACCTGTTCTGCCCCCCAATAATCTGTGATAGGAAACAAAGAGTCTCCGGCAAGCTCCCAACTTGCATCATTTTCTTCCTACATATCTTTGACCCCCTTCCTATATAGATGTGAAGGAGGGGTCTACTTGAAAGAGACCAATGGTGCATTGCTTTGTGACTCTTCAGGCTGAATCATACAGAGACACAGCTCCTGCCTGATTCTCCTGGACAGTTGCCACCACTCGGAGGCAGCCCTGTGTTGCCTGCATCAATCACCAGACATACCTGTGAATAGCCTTTAGAAGATTCTAGTTGCCACTTAAAGACTTTTTAAAATTAGTACATTTTTATTGAGATAAGTGGTTCATGGCATTACGTAAATCTCAAGTATCTGACTTTTATAATCTGACATCTATGTGGTTTACATCAAGTTCACGACCAAAAATCTAGCTCCATCCATCACCATACAGTCAACCCCCTTTACCCATACCACCTACCCTCTCTTAGTTTTTGATGCTTTCCAGCTCAAGGCTTTATACACAAATATACATGTGATTATATAATCCTTTTTTCACATACATATGATTTATTAATATAAAACCTGTCATAATATATATATATTAATTTATGATTATTATAAGTTATTTTGCTCACATTGTTATGGACACCAAAGTCCCACGATCTGATCTGTTGTCTGCAAGCTGGATACCCAGCCTAGCTGGTGATGTGGTTTCTCCACACTGAGTCTATAGACTTGAGAATGAAGGTAAATGATGGTGCCAGTCAGAATCCAAGTGCAGGAGAAGATCGATGTCCCTGCTCAAAAACAGTCAGAGAGAGAGAGCAATTTCTCCCTTGCCTTTTATATTTTTCTGTTTGTCTTTAGAGATTTTTATTTATCTCTAAATAAAATCTGCACCATGTGAGCCACCTCTGGCCTAGAATGGAACTCAGGCTACCATGGAGGGTCACCCTGGTGGTGGTGCTGAGGCAAACTGTAGGCCACCAGGGAGGCCCCAGCTTTTGGCCCAGATCAAAACAGAGTGGATGAATCCTACCCACACTCAGCCCTTCTGAACTACAAGCACACTACTAACCTTCCTTGCATGGAACATTCTATTCTTCTACCCCCACTATATTTATTTCTATATTTCCATTATATATTCTTCTCCAAAGAACTGTTTAGGATAACAAGGTCAAAAAAAAAAAAAAGTGACAGCAGGTTTGCCAAGCAAATAACTGGCTTTGGGAAGCATGGTCCGTAGAATCTGGACCCTTGAATACTAGCTGGAACTGATTCTAGTCTGCGTGCAGTTGTTCTGGTTACTGCCAAGTGATAAGAGTTTCAGGAAATCTTGCCTAGAAGTTGTTTCACTACACAGCTTGCAAGCCCCGAATTGTTTGGCCAAATAAGCATACTGAAGCACAGGCCACCATAGCCTGGGGCTGGAAAAGCTTACCTGCCTAATTGCATTTGTAAAAGATTCTGCAGAGACTTTGGATTTGCCCTGTGGTATCTCCTACAGCCCTTTAGACTGTGGAAAAAGAAGCGAAAATAAGACATAGTTTGCATTTCCCTGGATTCCTTTATTAATAAAGATACATCCTGAAGGACCAACTCAGCTTCACAAAATCATCTTCTTCCTCCACTTCTCTTTCTCCTCCTCCTCTACTTCATTCTCCTCCTTTTTCTTTTTCTCCAAGGGGCCCATAGGACAACTTACTCCCCAGGTAGCAAGCCTGGCAACAGCTGGGGCTCTTCCCAGGAAGGGAGTGGTGGAACCGGAGCATCCCCCTTAAGGCCATGTATTGACATCTCTGGGATAGGGAATATAATTTCCAAAAGCCCATTGGTGATTTTGACATACTCATTTCCCCCAATTCTTTATTACTTTGTCATTTTAGAGTGGGTAAGTCAGTATTTTTTCCTACCTTTTTTTTTGACCTTATTATCCTACACAATTATTTGGAGAAGAATTGCCTCACTAAGGGAAATATATAAATAAAAATAGTGGAGGTGGGAGCATAGAACACTCCATTCTAATCTGCAATATTTCAATAATGAATATTTAATAAAGGGATTAATTAACCCACCTTCAAGATTAAAGGGGAGCATGGTCCTTTTTATTCTCTTCACCTTTGCCAATTTTGTTTGCACAATACAGGTACATAGTACTTCATTTTATAAAGGAATAAAAATTTCCTTATTTTAAAAAATGTTTCCTAGAATAAAAGTATGGCAGCAACATACAGTGAAACTTCCAGTGCGTGAGGTGGCCACAGCTGTATATATTTATAGACGAGGAGCTCTTAAGCCATGGCTTCGAGAGTAACTCAGTGCCATTCCAGAAAATTGGGGCAGTAACTATGTTCATTGATTGCATCATAAGCAAGGTTTATTTTTTTGGAGAGAAAACAGCACAGTTGGACCGAAAATGAATTCTATTGGTGCCTAGAGGACACCCACTCTAAATTAAAGCAGACACAGGCCTAAGGGGATTGCATCATTACAGTAAAAATAAGCATCATTAGAGTTAAAAAAAAAAAACCCAAGAGTTCTCACCTCCCATCTTTCTTTGACATTTGTCCTAAGAAAAAGGGCACAGATTTCTGAGATTCATTTTTGGCATGTGTCTTGACTGAGCCTTCAACAATTTATTCAAGTCCTGGGAATTCATGCCCTGTCCCCCACCCTCACCCTCACCCCCCCACCACCACCATTTGGCTGACCCCAGAGAAAGCCCCTAGTCAGGTGCCGGCAGCTGTCTTGAGGCCTGGGCCAAGTCACGACTCGTGTCCGAGCCTAAAGGGTCTTAATTCAATATCACAAGATGTAGGTTCAGAAGTAGAAGTTCAGTGAGGAAATCAGATTTTTAAACATAAACAGTCCCTTCTAGAGCTCTCATTTAAGAACTGCAAGGTAAAGCTTTGTGCTATTGGAGGCCTTTAGCACAAAGCCAGTGGAAGACACTTCAAGGGCAGGTGCCCTGCATATTTACTGACCTCACTGCAGGAGAAAGCCCCTCTCCACTCACCTGACACTTTCCTCTGGTTCCTAGCAGCCCTTTCCACTCCGTATACTCTCCACTCTGTAGGCCTGCCCATGTCTAGGGATCCGATGCCTAGGATAATGACCCTGTGGGGTGGTAAAGCTGGGAAAGGCTTGAGATGCTTCCTGGCATAAGCTCCCTGGTGCCCATGAGAGGACTAAGTCCACCAAGGGAAGTGATTGGATTCAAAGGCTGCAGAGATGCAGGGGAGAACTGGAGAAAGCTGCCAATTCACTGCTCTCTTCCCTGCAGGGCGGCCTCCCCCAGGGGGGTACCTTTATCTGGATGATGCCACTTGGAGCCAAATGCTCCTTTAGTCCATCAAGTACTTAAATTGGGCATCGCATGGGACCCTGTGATGGCTGAGCAGCAGCTCAGACAGCAGGAACCAGCAACACAAAACAGACTGGCTCCTCCATCAGCTACCTGAGGGTGGCCTGGGGAGCTCCAGTAAATCTATGACTCTCTGTACCTGCAATGTTACTACTGTACTCCCCTGGGCAACTTACAGGTGTTTTTCTCACCAGCTGGTCTGAGAGCTTCCTGAGCAGGGAGCAACTGTGGTAGTTTCTCTCAAACTCTTTGTGTTAGGGGTGCAATAGTAGCACTGCAATAAATGAACAAATGATTGGATTCAGAAAACTTGGATCTGAATGTTGGATAAGTCACTTAGAGAAGCAGAAATCTCAGTTTCTTCAACTAGTAAAGGGGGAAATTAATGCCTGCCCTGTCTGGCGCACAGGCCAGGCAGCTACTGTTTAGAGCAAGTAAATGGCGACCCTCTCCAGGTGGGGAAGGAAGGGATGCTGGGCGGGAGCTTCTTCCTCTGTGTTTCACAATCACTTGTCCTTTCTGGATGTTTCTCCCTCGGGTGTTGGTTGTCACAGCACTGTATACAGAGTGCCTGGAAGAGCAGCTGGGTGCAGCCCCTGCTTCCTGGTGACCCCTGGAGTTCTGGGGGAGTATGGTCTCGGGGAGGGGGGGAGAGGGGGAGGGGGGATGTGTGTGAGCCCCCCCTACTCAACTGACTTACTTAATATGACACCCAGTTCTGCCTCGCAAGCCCAGCTCTGGGCCCTAGAACTCACCTTTGGGATTTTCCTCCTCCCCAGTCCTGGCTCTTGGCACCCTGCTCAGCTGCCATGGCAACAGGTTCCAGGGTGACAAAGGAGGTTGCTGTGTTCTATTTCCCTACAAGTGCTATCCAGGAGGATTTTTAGACCTCAGAGACTGAGCTGTCTGTACCTACCCGGCATTTCCTGTGTTCTCACTCAGCTTGAGCTCCAACGAACATCTAGCCAGCACAGCCATGTGTACCAGCCTGACCACCTGCGAGTGGAAGAAAGTCTTCTATGAGAAGATGGAGGTGGCAAAGCCAGCGGACAGCTGGGAGCTCATCATGGACCCCAACCTCAAGCCCAACGAGTTGGGCCCGGGCTGGAAGCAGTACCTGGAGCAGCGCGCTTGTGGCAGGTGAGACACACAGGGGCCTGGGGCGACTTCCAAGGGGAAGCAGAGTGCTAAATTGGAGCCCCGGCCTGGAGGCAACTCAGGTTAGTAGGTGGAGAAAGAACTGCCAGGTGGGTGAAGAGGCCTTGGTTCTAGCCCTCACTGCACACTGGTGTCCATGGTGGCACTGGACAAGGTGAGATCTCTCACTCACACCTGGTTTCCCATGGTCAGTTTTCCTGCAATCTCCAACACTTTTATTGTTTTTATTTATTATTGTCTCTTAATGAGTGGTGGGGACTGAAGGGAGGAGGCCCTCAAGTCCATTGGGGAAGGCCCTGGCCTAGGAGTTGGAGGGCCTGTGCTTCTGTGCTTTGGTTTGAAGTCAGTTCAGTCAATTCTAGACATTTTGACTGAAATACAAAAACACTTCATCTTCCTGCTATGTTCTAGAAACTAACTCCACAGCTAAATAATTGTGTGACCTTGGGCAAGTCCCTTTTTCATTCTGGGTTTCAGTTTTCACATTTGTAAAAGCAAGAGGTCGTTCTGTGATTAGCCAAGCCCTTTCCAGCACTACCTATGGGTCGCTGAGAAAAACACTTCATTTTGGGTGGGACGTCACTCACATTTAGGGCCTGTGCCCTGCGCTGTTCAGTGTCAGCATGTCCACACAGTGCCGCTGTCTTTGGGAACAAGGCGACTTGTCCATCCGGACCCACATGCCTCCCCCTCTTCTAGACCATGATGTGAGGTACTCCTTGCCCATAATCCCTCAAGCTCTCCAGGATCCTGTGTCCCTCCTTCCCTGTCTGTCCACTTAAAAGCAGACAACACCCCTATATCCCTGGGGGAGGTCAATTGATGTGGACCCACAGAACCTGGACACAGACTGGCTGGTTCACCTGTGCTTGTATGTGAAGTTCCTCCTGGTACAGGTGCCAAGGGTAGGCGCATGAGGAAGGCTGTTTGCAGGGACTTTATATTGATACTCTTGTCCAGCAAGACCAGCAAATGTTATAATGCATCTGTCTTTAGGACAAATGACAGTGAGGCAGAAGTTGGTTGTCTGTTCATTTCAACTCAAATCAATTTTAGAAACATCTAAAAGGAGCCTGTTATCATCCAGCTCTCATTAGCTGTGTGTGTGTGTGTGTGTGTGTGTATGTATGTTGCCCCCTCTCTCTGTCCTCTGTTTCCCCTCAGTAAAGTCAAAGACTGCCTTGATGGTCAATGAGGTCTCCACACCCAGGTCTAATATTTTGGAATTATTATGTGAGGTCCAGCTTGAGGAAGGGGAAACACCTCTGAATGGCTTAATTTAATATAAAAGGAAGAGACCTGAAAACATGAAACTCCTGAGCTGTGGGAGGGCCAAACTGCTGAGGCCCAGGAGCCAGAGCCCAGAGGTTGAGGAGCTGAGAGCCATGGGGCTGACTTCTCTTGCCTCAGGGCACAGTTGTCTGATTTCTGGCTGATAATCTGTGGCCCCTGATGGCCTCAGGCAGGACTGGTGAAATGTTGCCCTGGTCCTTATTCCTTTTTTTTTTTTTTAAGATTTATTTATTTATGCATACAAGAGCTGGGGTATAGGCCAGAGTTGTATGTGGGGGAGAGAATTCACCAAACAAAGTGGGGGAGCAGAACAGGCAGACGGACTGAAATACACTGCTGAGGGGAGCAGTGAGTGGGTAAGGAAAGGGCTACCATGCCATGCAATGTGGGTGTCCGCCCCCCCCTCCCCCCCCCACACACACAGTTTCACATTGCTGTGCTGCTTTAACCCATTGTGCCACCAGGGAGGGCCCTGCTCCTTATTCTGTGCACAGGCTCCCTCTACCTCTTTAGCCTCAGGCTGCATGAATGCTGGCGCTCCCTAGCTCTGGGCCCATACAGAAGGAAGCACTGGTCCGGACTCAGGCCCACTCCAGCTGCTCTGCACTACTGACCCTATCCTGGGCTTTGCTGGGTATTGCTCTGTACTCACATTGTCAGTGGGTTCCCGGGCTCAGAGGCAGACTTGGCTTCATCTGCCCCACAGCTTGGTCTGTGTGGTACTTGGCAAACAGTAGGTACTCAGAAGTGTCTGAATTGGGTTGAATTCCTCATCAGAGGTATGTCATCATACAGTGGGCCCAGAGAGTGTCAGCAGACAGGGCAAAAGCCCAGTGGAACTCTGACTGTCTGTAAGCCTCCTTAATGGTATTTGGAGAGGTTCACCTCAAGGATGCAAGGAACTGCACAGGAGCTAGTGATGGCTCCAACATTGAAGGTATGCGAGCACTGTAGGGGGTTAAAGGGGGGATCTTGATTAGATAAATCCCAGGCCACTTCTCCCAAGGGGGTGAGGACGGGAGAATGGTAGAAGGCTGGCTGTGTGTGTGTGTGTGTGTGTGTGTGTGTGTGTGTGTGTGTGTGTGTGTGTGTGTAGAGGGACGCAAGCTAGGGTCTACACTTTCAGTTCCTACTGCAAGGGTGGAGAGGATCTAGGGATGTCTTGTTAAGGGACAAAAGAGTGTTTTTGTGAAAGAGGAGGAAGAAAGTCATAGTCTTCCCCCTGCTTCTCGATCCAGGCATCCACTGTAGTCTGTGCCCAGCACACTCAGAAGTTCCTCTTCTTCCCAGAGCACACAGGCTGCATGAGTGACATCTACTGGTCACACTCTTGGTCAGACTGGCAAGGTCTTAACAGGTGGATCTCATTGAGCACCATCACCCAGCCTTTCTCAAACGAGAAATAAGCCAGGAGGAAGGAGGCTGGCGAGGCCTGGGCAGCAGCATCCAGGCCCACATTTCAGTGATTGGGGTTGGGGTTGGGGTTGGGGAAGCCAGGTCAAGAAGGGCACACAGGCTCAAGCACACTGCTGAAAGCCAGATGGCTCTAGTGCCAGGCTCTAGAGGATACTGTTCTGGCGGCAGGGCAAATCACCAGGCCTCCAGTGCCAATGAGTCCAGGGAGGGATAAGCACTCTGCCTCCTTCACCGGGTACAGGACACAGGGCCCTGCCTTTACTGCCTCCTTGCGCTGACAGGAAGGCCGGCCATCCCCATGCCTCCCTCCGGTGCCTGCAGGTTCCACTGCTCCTGGTGCTGGCACACCTGGCAGTCTGCGCACGTGGTCATCCTCTTCCACATGCACCTGGACCGTGCGACGCGGATGGGCTCGGTGCGCATGCGCGTCTTCAAGCAGCTGTGCTATGAATGCGGCACCGCCCGGCAGGATGAGTCGAGCATGCTGGAGGAGAACATCGAGAGCCTAGTGGACAACCTCATCACCAGCCTGCGCGAGCAGTGCTATGAGGAGGATGGCGGCCAGTACCGCATCCACGTGGCCAGCCGGCCGGACAGCGGGTCACACCGCAGCGAGTTTTGCGAAGCCTGCCAGGAGGGCATCGTGCACTGGAAGCCCAGCGAGAGGCTACTGGAGGAGGAGGCCACCTACCCCTTCCCCAAGTCAAAGGCCCCGGGGGGCTTGCACTACAACTTCTTCTCCCTTCGCTGGTGTCTCTTCTGGGCCTCCCTCTGCCTGCTTGTTGTCTATCTGCAGTTCTCTTTTCGTAGCTCTGCCTTCCTTTAGGGGAGTTGGGGAGAGGGCACATGGCGGAGCTTAGATGACAAGACTGGTCCTTATTTTGCTACAGGTTCTATGTATGACCTGGGCAACTCAGTTACCTCTGTGCATCTCATTTTATTGCTCTGCAGAATGAGATACTTATTCTTCTAGAATAAGTATCGTCTCATTCTAGAAGATACTTAATGGTTTAACCATAAAATATACAGCGATGGGTAAGGGGAGAACGCGTAGATTCCCCGGAGGTTTTTGAGCTTTCCGGATTTGGTCTTAGTACTAAGATATCACCAAGTACTAAGATACCGGAGGTTATCATGCTTCTCTACCTCCTTCACCTCATCTTTCATCTCTGTCCTTCTATTTGCTTCATTTCCATAATCCAAACCCCATTAGGACCTATTAGATCCTGTCTTGCACCTGCCTCACTGTCAAGCTCATTTCAGCTTCTGCTGACCATCCTAGCATCTGTCCCCTGGGAGAGGACAGTGGCCTTAGCCCTTGCATCTCCAACCAATTTTCAACCAGTAGGTCTTCTTCACCCAGTTCCTCTCCTGGAGAGCCTGTTCCCACCCTTCTGTAAGGCTCAGATTTTTACTCTGGTGCTAGAGTCTGCTTGCATGAAATTATTTAAAGCTGCACTGTCCAATATGTTAACCACTAGCCATAGGTGGCTCTCTATGTTTAAATTAATGAAAAATGAAATAGAATGAAAACTTGCACTCCTCATAGCAGTCACACAGCAAGCACTAAGCACTCAGTAGCCACTTGTGGCTAACGGCCACCGTATTGTTCTGTGCTGATATAGAACATCATTGCAAAATTTCTGTTAAGTAACACTGGTCTAGAACTTGAAATTCTCAAATGTATGCAGACTCATCAGAAACGGGCACAGGTTTGACAGCGCAGCATGCAGCCTCTGGGGGCAGGACAGGTGTGGTGTGATGTGGTAGAGATGCACAAATGAATGTCTAACCTCTGTGCCTCTGACTGCTGCTCCATATAAATCTTTGGGCAGGGGTTCTGGCTAAACCTATTTCTGGGGAAGTAGGAGCTGATGCAAATCTTTGCAAAGTGATGGTGTTCTCTTTCTCAATTCTCCCCCTCCCCTCACACCTCTATCTTTTTCTCCCACTTCCTTTCACTTGCTCTCCTTTGGAGAACACGTTCCTGTGCTTTAAAAAAAAATGTGAGCTGTGGTGTCACTACTTACCCATGATGCAGAGAGGTGGCCCCAGCCCCCATACTGAATGAAAATACCTTGTAGCAGATTCTCTAGTAGTCGGGAGAAGGCAGTTCTGTGGATGTGGTCTGTCAGGTACAGCGGGGTGATAGGTGTCCACTCACAGCCATGACTAAGGGAAAGCATGAGCAGTGGAGTCAGAGAGCCCTTGTCCCCGGGCCCTTCCAGGAGCCCACTCCATGGGGGGACTGCGTATTTCCTGTGCTCATCCCCTCAGACAGAGGTATGACTTTGGCATCTTAATCATGGCTTGGAGTCAGATTATGTATCTGTTATTCTTTGGAATAGGAAACAAAACTCTCTTATTTACTCCCCAAATTGTTTCCTAAGATTCACGCTTTTCTATAACCCAATTTTAAAGCCTCTGTTCAAAATGGGACCTGAAAACAAAAGATCAAGTTCGAAGTAAATATGTCTGATCTGATATTTTCTGCTTCAGGCACTGGATCCCATCTGCTCACTGTGTAGCATGTTGGCTTTACTTTTCTCTAACTGGCAGGAGGGTTCAGGTGGTTTTGGGGGTTCTCCATGTACTTGCAGGAATTGAGAGTTGGGCAACATGGGAGAATCTCTGTCTTACTTTGTTGGGTGCAGCAAAGGTGTAGGAAGAACACTGGGACGGAGCGTTTAGCAGGGCTGTGAGGTTTAGCACTTCTGTCAAATGCACGGGATACTCAGCTGGGCCTGTTTACAGTATAGTCCCATGGTGTGTTACTCAACTGCCTTCACCTGGTGATCTAGGAAGCTGAATGTCAGCAGCCCAGGAATGCTTGCTTCTGAGGACAATCTGCCCCCTTGCCATAGGCCATCCTGGGAGTCTCAAGGACACCTGAAGGGACAGGACTGGATGAAGTGGCAGCAACAGCATCTCTAGTGGAGCTATGGTCTCACCAGTCACAATTAGATGCCTTTTTTTTTTTTTAAGATTTATTTATTTATTCATACAGAACTGGAGTACAGGCCAGAGATGTAGAGGATGAGAAGATTCACCAGGGACAGAGTGGGGAGCAGAACAGGCAGATCGATGAAGTACACTGCTGAGGGGAGCAGCGGGCGGGTCAGGAGAGGTCTGTCGCACCATGTGGATCTCCTCCAGGGCAGGCGGGGATTGAACTCATGCTGAAGTGGCTTTAGCTTCTTAGTGCTGTGCTCCAACCCACTGCGCCACAAGGGAGGGCCTAGATTTTTTATTATTATTAAAGTTTTATTTACTCATGCATACAAGAGCTGGGGTATAGGCCAAGGGTGCAGGGGGTGAGAGGACTCACCAGAGACAGAGTGGGGAGCAGAACAGGTAGATGTACTGAATACACTACTGAGGGGAGCAGTAGGCAAAAAAGGAGAGGTCTGTTGTGCCTTGTGGGTCAGCTCCCTGGCTGGGGATCGAACTCAGGTTGCAGTGGCTGGTGATAGCTTGATAGCACTGAGACTTCAACCCTTGTGATACCAGGGAGGCCCTGCCATTATGTTTCTTATGGTGTATCATCGCTGCTCATTTGCAACAGCGTTGCTTGTTGCTTTTCATCTTCCTAAGTGACTAAGTGACTGCTTAATTAGAATGGTGTCTAAATTCTTGTTTTGTTGCATGAAAGATCCCCTACCTTACTTCTTTGTTGTCATTCTGTGCATGTTTCATATGCTGTGATAGCCTCAGTTTGGATGAAAATGAAATGTTGACTTTGTGTTAGTGATTATGTATCATTTTCCAGTCATGACCCATAACATAGTTACTATAATTGTCCACATTAAGTAAGGGAGCCTGAGGCTTAGTGAGTTACCCAGTTTTATAAAGCTGTGGACTAGTTTGTTCAAAGCTGGTACAGGAGGCCAGTTTGCCAAGAAATGAAGAATTAAATACCCCTCTTTGGGATCAATACATGATGCCTATTGAGGCTAAGACCTTTGACAAGGACGATGGCCCAAAGAGCAAAGCCACCCACCAGCATCTGAATGATAGCTGCACTTCAAATGGTACTTGACGGCAAAGAGGGAAGTTGGACTAGACACCTGGAAGTAGGGATGTTTGAAAAACATATAAAACTATCTGCTAACAGGACTGATATGAATGAAGCTTATTAAGTAGAGCATTCTTATAGACACTTAATGTGAGATTAACTTCATGCTCAAGTACCAGTGTCACCGTAATGTTAAAACGAGTATTGTTCCCCAGCTCTCATGAAGAATATGTGATATGTCAAGAGAGGCCTTGTTCTTATTATTTTGGTATCGGTGTATATCCTGTAATTTTAAGGGTGCTATGGGTGTTCTAAGAAGGAAGCTGAGCACTATGAGTGCCTTGTGCATCTGTGTGCTGATTTTACACCACAGGCAATCAAATATGGCTGCACTGACTGCTGCTTGTTTGCAGAGGAAAGAGGAAGTGGACAGGGATATAAAGGGATGCTGTGCTGATGCCAGAGGCCTGGGCACGAGCCCAAACATACAGTGGAATGAGTCTGCTACCCCTGGAGAAATAGCAGGGGTATTCCTATAGCTATACAGCTATATTCCTGCAATTTTTGTACAAATGTCAGCATGCATCCACTCCAGGCTATTTCACTCCTGAACTGTTCTAAAGTTACAGGATCACAAAGATAATCAGACTTAGTCAATGACTTGGAGGAACTACAATGTGTGTTCATTACTGCTGGACAGGCAAGGGGCACTTTAATCAACCTGAGGGAGGAGGAATAGGAATGGTCACTTAGAAGACTGGTCACACAGAAAATGTTATGAAGAGTGTGTTGAGGAGGTTGGGCGATCAAGGTTGGAACTGACCATGAGCTACATGAATCCCCAGTTGAGCGAAAAAGACCTAGAAGCAGAGCTTATTTAATGTTTAGAATATAAGCAACCGAGACCCAGAAGAGGGTAGGAGGATGGAATATGAGAGGGGTCTGAGTAAAAATAAGGGAGAAAGGCAAGGTAGAGTTGGGTGAATATAGCTCTCTTGGCTCAAATAAAGACAATGGAGGCAGCATTTGATTTATGATAAATAGACATTTTATTGTCATTTTTACAACTTGTCTTTAAAGCATAAAGGTTAGTGCTGTATAGCAATCTTCCCTTGTGCCGTCTGCAAACATCTGGCACCTCTGTATTATGTATTTTATAGGTACTTTGTACATGTTTAAAGCAGCATTTGGTTCTTCCTTCATCCTGACCTTTCTTCTGCTGTCTTTCTTTCTTAAGTAGGTGAGAATAGTTGCAATTCTCATTTTTAGGTATAGAAATTATAGAAATGAATAATTTCTTCAAGTGCTCTGTGGACAATGAAAACTTGGGTTGCAAATGACAAAACTATTAACTTTAGTCAAATAACTCAAAAAGCTTTCTTTGCTCAATGCTAAAAATCAGATGAATTAGTTAATTTAATAATCAGTGAAAGTAAGTAACTAGTTTCTGGTTCTGATTATCCACATGTTGAATTCAACTGAGAACAGTTGTAGTATAGATGATATTTCTGTTTCCTTTGCTGAGCCTTTTAAGTTTGTTTATACAATTAAAATTAATGAGCTCCTTAAATTTAAATATACTTACCTTTGTTTCCATTACACATGTAGATTTGTTGAACAAGAATAAATATTCCTAATAAAATACAGTATAAAAAACTTTTGTTTGTATATGTGTGTGTGTGTGTTTGTTTCATATATCAAAGCATTTATATAGAACATGGGAAGGAGTAAAATCAGCCCCTGATGTGTGGAAACTGGTCTGGCCCTTATAGCTAACCTGTGCTGCTGTCCTGTTGAATATAAACAATTCC